AAGAGGCTCGACAAACGCCTACACGCCTTGACTACCGCGCTCTCGCGCGAGCCTTCCACGGCGCGGGTGACAGCTTTGCGGAAGGCCCATATCAACATAGACCAAGCAGGAACCACTGTCAGCTGCACAAAGTCTCGCGGATGCTCAACGCGAGAATAGTCAACGGGGAAACAAGGCAGTTTAAGCACACGCAGGAACGTGGCTTTCGACACCGGAGCCCAAGCTAGTCCTCGGCTGCGTCGGTACATAATACATTTCACGTAGGACAGAAAAAGACTTCGTTATCGCTGATGCCTGGTTTCAGACATGTTTCAGTTAGCGTGACGATGTCTGAGTTGAAATCGTAGACAAGACTTTGAGATCATTGTTTCTTGGCAAGAGGCTGCGTATGCTCGGAAACGTGAACGCATGTAGAGTATTTGCATTTCCCGTGGAAGAAGGAGTAGTGTGCGGATTCATCGTTGTTATCTATGTATATCTTTGACAGATGTATACTTCTTATTATATTTAAAAGTAACATTTATTATAGGAAAAGGGGCCTCTTCCTTTCGTCCAAAAAAGGAAAAAGCTTACTGTGAGCAAAACGAACCGATTCCGAGAACTGAAAGAAAACGAAAAGGAACCTTCTTTCCTTTTAGTTTAGCTGGATTATATAAGAAATTGCTTATCTTTAAAATGTGCGAACTTAACAAACATAAGCCGACGTTTTTTTGTTGCGAACTTTTTTGCACGGTGTACCCGTTCAACATTGCACGATTTGAACGAAATGTCGGGAGCTTCGGAGAAAACCCCAATAGCGCGTTGTTCAGATCGCTTCCAGCTTTCAGTCGGCAAGCCTGGCATACCAAGGCGCAAAGGTGGAACAATTAAGATATTCGCTCCGCTTTCATTTAAAGACAAAAAAATCCGTTGAGATGGCACTCCAGGCGACCGGCTATTCCGGCCGACACGTGGGGCTAGCAAAGCGATTTTGGCGTGACCGGAAAGTGTTCTCTTGGTGGGAGCTAATTTGATGAAGGCTCCCGACGCTTGGTCGGATCGGACGACTAGCGAGTGCGCAGGGGAGGCAGGCGCCGAGCCTGACAAGCGCCGCCTGCTCCCATCACTCAGATCTTTTGAGAGGCTTCCGAGCAGGAGCCGGCCAAGCTTTCGGCGAGTGTCGCTAAGTGGGCTCGAGACCCGCAAAGTTTGCCCAGGGTCTCAGGGAGATTTTCTCTCCACAAAGCGACACGTCACGACGCCCGCCAGGCTTGGTCCCCTGAGGCTGGTGAAGGCGCGTCCTTAGGCCGTCTTTGTGCGCTGGGCCGACGACCGCGGCCCGCTTACAAGGCGCATCCTTTGTTGGGTCGCGCAACGGCAGCCGCTGCGAACCTAGCCTAAAGGTTGTTCGCCGTATGAACCGGAGGGGCATGGGGCGGCGCGCCTTTCGCTCCTCCCTTATAGAAGTTTGTCCGAATAAAAGCATTTTTGGTGACGGTGACCAAGGCAGCTTGCTGGCCGGCAGTCAAGTCGAGCTCAACTCCTTCGACAAACTTCCAACGAACCAAGTTCTTACCGACGTTCTTCTCTGCTCAATTGAAGTGCCGCTTTTTTTTAATGTGTAGCCTCAACGATGGCTCAGAAGGGAGCCTCAGCGTGCAGAAAGCGTGGTGCCATATGGTGCTGAGCAATGTGGGCAGAGTCATTCCAGGCAGGCTATCTTATCCAACTACACGAAACTCGGGAAATTAAATATGGAGAGAGGAAAGGAAGGCCAGAGGAATAGAGACACGTGAAATTAAGATGAAGCTCGATGTAGCTCAACGTGTTGATCTTGAAGACGAAAAATTACTTTAGATTGTACTCGAATCTCTCAATTTAGCAACGAGGAACCAACTGAATCAAGCTAATTTGCTATGCACGTGGCCTGGGATTTCTGGCAATTGCTAGATGTTACTGAAACGCAAGCCACAAACCTCCCGTGGCAGACTGCTTTGGTAGGGAGCTTCCAATAATATTTTGTTAACCGTGCCGCTATTTACAAACGAAATTTTTCCTGCCTTGTTTCGATCGGTCGCGATTTGTTTCGCCCGGATTTTATTCGTCAGAGCCCGAGCTTTCCCCCTGTGCTAGATGTTCCAGGTTATTCATATATTATTTTTGGCGGTAGCTCGGTTTTCTTTCAATTTCTCACTTGGAATCACGTGAGCATCACGTCCTCTTATAAAGAGTTTCATGTTCTACTGGAGCTTGCGTGGCAGTGTTGGCCACGGAGTAAGAAGGCTCAGATGGAGTCCAACTCTCGTCCCCTTCTCTCATGCGCGCCAACAGTTGGCACCACAGTCGTCGAGGCTTACAAAGGGCGTGTCCTTTGTTGCAAGGAGTCAACCGTTCAGGAAATCCAACGAAGATTTGCACCTGCTAAACTGAATGTGGAAGTTATACTCGGCACTTTGAAGCGGCGGTGGATATTCCTGGGTCCCTCACGGCAGCACCAGAGCCGGAATATCGACACCAGCTGGGATCGGACAGTTCCCCACCACTGACCAATCGCAGCAGGCTGTTATGTCCCAGTCCTGCCGTGTAGATTAGGGCCCCTGATGTTATCTAAGGATATGAACCATTCCAAATAAGGGCTTCTGGCCGGTGTTATTTTCAATGTTTTGGCGTATGGCACGTGGTTTCTTTTTACGTAAAGGGAGAAACTCGCGTGTGTTGGGCTGTTGAGATCGCGCACGAGGGTATGGAATGGTAAACGTTGGAATATGTCCAAAGCAGGCCCTCACACTTGTGCGCACTATCGATACGCAAAATACGCAGAATCGATCGCGAAGGATAGGACGTTGAAGTTTGAGGGCCTGCTTTGGACAGATTCCAACGTTTACCATTCCATATCCTAGTGCGCGCTTTCAACAGCCCAACACATGCGAGTATCTCGCTGAACTACTCTTCCAGTGAACAAGCGCACGTGCTCGGTGCACCCTTTCAAAGCATGAATCTCGCCTTTAGAGCTTTTTCTTTGCTCAGAGCTAAATCAACTTAGGTGCGAACTGCTCTCGCATCTAAGAGACAATTGTAATACATGCCTAATGTTCTCTGTATTATGAAAATTAGGGATGCCGCGAACGTTTTTTGAACCGAAGTTTCGATGATCGAATCAAGCGGCTCGAAAGATTTAGAATTTTGGACCTTTCTATATTGTAAAATTTGACGCAAGTCGAATTTTCGACCTTGTTCAACTAAGAAGTTCGACGCTTTTCGAACCGTCAACCTTATTACACTAAAAAATTTGATCCTTTTCGAACTTTCGAACCTATTACGCTGCAAAATTCGATGCTTGTCGAACTTTCGAACTTGATAGACAAAAAAATTCGATGGTTTTCAAACTTTCGATTTTCTTGCACTAAAAATTTCGAAGCTTTTCGAACTTCCTACGCTAAGGAAATCGGTAAGTTTTTATCTCTCGAACTTATTTATCAAAATAATTCGAAACGTTTCAAACTTTCGAACCCTAAAAAGTCAAAAGTTCGACGAACTTCGAACTCTTAGAGTAAAAGTTTGACGTTTGTCGAACTTCGAAAGACCTGCGGAGAGTTTCATTTGAATTGAAGTAGTGAGGTACATTCGTCATTTCTTTTCTCTCGAATTTTTACATGCGGTGCTGCGTTCGTTACGAAAGACAATACCGTTTATTTCAATATTCTGGCATGCTTAGTTTTAAAGAAATAAATTCCCGAAGGGGCGTGGAAGGACGCCGTGTTTTTGACGATTGTCGTTTGTGCCATATTTGAAGCGCGCTATAGCCGAGCTATTTATGGTAGAGATGTTAAACTTTTACAGAATGATCTATGCCTAGCCTAGGTAAGTGTCGTCTTAAGATGTGATTATTGTTATTCAAGATGAGTTTCGAAGAAATGTCCAATCATCCACCAACCATGTATCTACGGGCAATTATGCCCTACACTTGGTATTTTTTTTCGTCTAAGTTGTTTGAGGTATCGCATTTAAATTAACACCACAGACAGAACATATTACTGCCATCTGCAGAATACAAAATAATATATTTATTGTTTTTCACGTTAAGAAATAAATTAACTCATGGAAGAAGATTTCTAATATTGCTCAAGTTCAGCACGTCAACAAAAAAAAAAAAAAACATTTTTTTTTTACTTTACGTTTTTGGGGCTTGTTTTTGGGGCTTGTTTTTACTTTACGTTTGGTGCCTGCACACATTTTGGCAGGAGAAGCTCGTTTCGAAGTTCTGAGCCTCTGAATATGCAAGAATACAACACTTGAGGCGGGTTTCTGATAGTTTTTTTTTTTTTCTCCAGTTTTTTATTTCCGCATTTATTGTTATGTTTATTTTTTATTTTTTTATTATTGACCCAATTATTTAGGTCGAAAAGACATAGCTTTGAACTTCCGAACCACTAAGCATGTGACAAGTAGTGCCTTCTGACAACGAGTTTCCGACAATGACAATCTACGCGATCTTTTATACGGTGAAGAGCCACAGTAGCTATACATATGCATAAATAAATTCAGATTAAAATAAGCTCGACCACGCCCTCTTTCCCCGTATCATTTTCTTTAACAGTCCGAAATATCTGGAAAGGGGGGGGGGGGGAAGAAAAGGCGCCGGAGCCCCCCTTCCCCGTTTTTCCTCTTCCGATGCCACTGGTATGGTAGAACGCTCCTCGACCTCGAGTTGTGTCGGCTTCTGTGCTTTTTGCGAGGCATTTCCTCCGTCCCGGAAAATAAACCTCCAGGACAATTGCAAACTTAACTTACTATATGCCGGCGTCACTCGGGCGGCGTTCGATCGGATTACTACCAGCGTGCAAGGGGTGGGGAGGTAGTTTGCCAAGACGCGAAGTCTGTCCGTATCCCTTAGATCGTTCTCATCTTCGACAAGAAGAAAACGGGGAAAAATAATGCCTGGGCCAACTTTTCCGCCGTCTCCCGTAGAGCGAGACACCAAGACACGTGTAGCCTGCAAGCGGAGGCGTTTCAACACTCACCGGCATTGTTTGGCTACCGTGCAGGGCGTTGATGGCTGCCTGGGCTTCGGTGTGGGCGCTGAACTTGACAAATGCACAACCTGCAGGCAAGAGAGACGGACCTGGCGTCAGATCTAGAGCTCTCTTCCCCAAACGGCCCCAAGGCGGACATGGACATTGCGCCGGGCGTCCCTCGGCATTCGAGAAAGCGGACCATGCGCGCATGTTCTGGACGACTGTTCTCCAAACCCTGACAACTACTGGCTCAAAAATAAGAAATAAAGGATCGGCACCGCGTCTCGCACCAAATGCGCACACGGAGGTGGAAGAAAGACGAGTGTTATTTATTTAGTTTTACGATTTTATATTCATATTTCGACCCTCGATGAGGCGACCGACCACTGATGCGGCCCCTTCGCCAGAAAGTGACCCCTGGTCTAGACCAACGTGCAATGTTCGACGTGCCGCACATCACCGAGAGCAGGGTGTAAGATAGGTAGGTGAAGATATGTCAGCTGATTGGACGACCTGATTGTGTCCCCGCTTTAGGAAGGTTCGTGGTGCTCCGCATAGATGGCACCACGCAAAGAATAACGAAAAACAAAATATTCTCATTACTTTTCCAGGCAAGGCGATTCACTGGCAATTTATTTAGTAAAGTATGCATGAACCCCGCACGTTTAATAGAGCAAACTAACAATATATTTAATTCATAGGTTTTGTTTTGCCCCTAGTTCTGCATTGAAACTTAGAATAATCAAGGGGGCGCGCAGCGTAACCAAATGAAGGCTGGCTGAGAAATCATCTGAGGCGTGTCGTGAATGCCACGAGGGCGTCGATTCCACTCCACCTGCAGATGTGTTCGGAGATCTAGCTTATACGTTTTCGCTGCCTATGTGCAAGCAAGGTAAGTTTGAGTGCGAAGTGATTTGAAGCCAGCGGTACGCCGTCGCACTACACTGCGATCACACTGTGACCAGCACGACAGAGTCACGCGAAGTCAACATCGCCTGCGTTAATTATCACCAATTTTTCTTTCTTTGCGCCGTATCCCGACCGACAGTTGGCAACACAGCAATGACGGCCCATACATCAAGAATCGTTGTCGTTCCCAGGCGCCAAAACACGGCGAGAAATAACAATTTCCTTTGCTAGTGCCATACTCGTCTGCTCTAAGCGCGTTCGGAAGCAAAACCAACAAATCAAAAAGCGTAAAATCCATCAAAGGTAAGAAAAGCGTCGATAAATAATCGTGTGATAATTTCATTTGCCCGGGAATTAGTAAATTCGACTTTAAACTAAAGAATATCGCAGACAAGGTGCGTTCTCTCGCAGGGTTCCATACAAACTCGAGTCCATCGCCTTCCGTTTGCCGCCGCGCCATCTATCGTAAAGCGGGGGTACCTCCCGAGCGGAAGCCGCCAGGTGGACAGAATCCGGTCGCGCTGCTGATGTGCGACCGGGTTATGTCTACCTGGCGGGTTCTGTCCACCGGATCCGGACCTGCCTATCTTACACCCTGAGCGAGAGTGGCGAGTGAGCTGCATCTGCTTCCGTAGTGAGTACGAGACAGACGCAAGAAACTACGGATCTCTCTCCACTTTCTTTCGTTTGCTCGGTGATTCAAATCTACCTTCCAGATATATATACGCGAGTGATCGCAGTCGTTCTGTAGGTTGCTAGGACGACTCTACGTCCGATTCTCGGAGAATCCGGTCGCGGTTGAGCCACTCCGAGCGCCAGCCTGTCCTGTAAGACCATTTTGTGCATTCACAACTGACCTATAAAGCGCTATCTTTGAAGTGCCACCCACCCGTTTCTGAATGGGAAGAATTTTTTGAAACGCACACGGGCTGGCGACCGAATGCGCCGAAGGTTTACGACCCTGAAGCGAAGAGAGACGATGGAATGACATTATATTGATTGGCCGGTGTCTAGAAATATCGAGGGATATCCTTCTCTGGGCTTAGTGGATCGTGTCCTTGACTGGTGTGTTTACCGCGTACAAAAAAGTGGTCTTTCGATTTCCACCTGATGACGTCACAGAGGCGTGATGCTGTCGCCTCTGGCGATCCTGGCGGCGTCCCAACAGCTGCAGTGTATGTGGCAGACGCCTGTTCTGCAGCAGGTCGCACTCCAGTGTGGCGGTCCACGGAAGTTTCGGCAGTCAGAAGTGGGGACGCCGTGACGACAGCGACACTCGCGTTCGGTTCTGCTACTCGCAGCTTCTCGTTAGCATTTCTACGACCAACCGCCGGAATCGCGACATCCTTGCGGTTGCCCGCTGCGCCCGCACTTTGATCCGTCAAAAAACGTTTTGAGTTATTGGTTGTTTTTTGCTTTTTTGTTTGGCCGCGTCTAATGTGGGGCCTAACTTCCGCACATGGTCAAACCCGCTGTAGTGTTCACAAAATGGGGTATTTTCTTATTAAAGTTATTTGTATCTTGGCAGACATTTTTTGTTACTTTTTCAGAAAAAGTATATAAGTTATTGTTAGAGTTACTTAAAAAAATGTATCGAGTCACAGTAAAAAAGTTACCCCAAAAAGTAACGAATTACACTATTGCGATACTACGCAAGACTGGATAGCGGCCACCTAAAAATCGGGGCTCTTGGTTTGACCAAGATATCTGAAGATCTTCCTGCAACGCCCGCAAGAACCGCAGCCCAAAGAAACCTCAAAGTTGCGCACGTACGTCGTCGGCGTTGTAATCTAATGCCCCACTGATGGGACTACTTCAGCTCGACTCAGAATACGAGACTTGGGTGCAGTCCGCTTATTGGTCTCCGCGTAAGATCTCCTCTGGCTCCAGGTGGGGCGCGCGTTCGCCCATTGCCACAACCAAATAGATACAAAGGGAATTCGCTCGGACATAGCGAAACACGCGAGGTGTTTCTCACACAATGTAATTAACGTGTTATTGGGAATCAGAAATCACTGAGCGAGTTTTGTCAGGACGGGCAGCATCCCCGTTACGAGCGATCGATGAAGACGCCCGCGACGAACCTCTCCCATTGCTCGAACTTCGTCCTTTGGGAGACGAAATCGCGCGGACGGAGAGGGGGCAAGTGCGCGGAACCCACCCAGCTCATTCGAATAACGGCAGCTTCCCACCCGTTTTAACTGAGACGTTGCGAAAATGCGGACGAAAAGCCGGGTCCTTCCACAGAAATGCCTGAATTGCGAAAGGGCGGAAAACGAGAGGGGGGTTCCTTCGCCCGGGCGGAGGAGCGAAAGCAGTTTGGAACAGCCGGTGCGCTAGCATCGGGCAAATTTCAATTGCAGCTCGGTCCTGGAGGCGTCTTCTGCCAGGATCGGTAATACGATGGCAGGGCTGGGAGGCCGAAGGCTGGTTTGACTGGCGCAGGGTGCTTCGCAGCGTAAGCGCAATGGCGCAATCTGTTGCGGACGCGGGGACGGTGACCGACGGACGGCAGAGAGGGAGCAGCACGAACACGGCCCATCGAGTGAAGCAACCGCGGCAGCAAAGCTCCCAAGCTCCGGGGGTGAGTGCGGCGGCTGCGGCCAACTGCGGCCCAACGGCAGGCACGTGTCCGGCGTGCCAATGGAAGCCTCGGACCGAGCTCCGCGCGGAAGGCCGCCACGGGGACTTTTCATCGTGCCCACTCGCCGTCAACAGGCGCTCCAAATGTCGACGGCCGCTGCTCGGAGGGTGGCCGACGCCAGACCCTGAGAACAACTGAGTCGATATGAACCGATGGCTGCGCCCCGTGACGGCACGCCACATAACCCTAGGAACAGAGCGCGGCTTACAACGAAGCAACGACAGAGAAGCAATATTGCTTATACGTTCCGAAAAGCGTTTCTTTTTGTTTCCTTGTACGGAATGAAAGTACGATATTGCTCTCCTCGGAAATGGATTTTAGATGCTTTCGGACAAAGAACAGGGGCGCAGCAATCCGAGAACAAATCTTGTTTTTAACGAAAATGCAAACAAGCTAGGAAACAGTTTCTACAAAAAGCACCGTCAATGTTGGTGAACGAAGAAAATTGTAATGAACGTTTGCTTCTTGAGTGACAGTTTCGGCAGGGTGGTTCCCCCTGTGACCTAAACAAGCAAACGCGTCTCGGAAGCACTATGAAATTGTCGGGACAAAAGAAGACTCTGCGTCAATCAATAAAAATAAGAGAAAAAAATGCAACAACGAGTTTTCTTTTGGAACAAAAACAATTCGAGCCACATGTTGTCCAAATGAGCAGACTTAATTCCATCACAGTCAGTGCACGTGGTGGTAGTCAGAGTGTCTCTCGGGGCACTCGTACGCTGCTTCGGGGAAGGAAGTCTCGGAGAACGGTCGTCGCGAGACCGCCGGAGGGATTCGACACAGAAATGCCGAAAAGGCGTCGACTCGTTTCTTTTCGCAGCCCGTGAGACGCGCTTTGGCGACCGAAAACCAATAATGGAGCCAGATAGGAGCCAAGATTCATCTCCGAGCCGGAAGAAAGCGCACGAAACAAAAAGCGGCTGATGAGATGAGGCTCAAATCTCCGCGTGTGCTTTCAATTCGGAGTCCTCCCGGCCGCAGCGTTGGAGCTCTGATAGGCAATTTCCCGAGAAGCTCGCGCCTTCAGATAAGCCCACGGCGCATCGAATCCGGCCTCGGCGAGAAAAAGCGGCGTTTTCGAAAGCAAAACGAGAGCAAAATCCCACTGGCAAGAACGACGCTGGTTTGCATCCCGACCAATGATAAACGGCAGCTTGAAATCTGCTCATCAATATTCATCCGCCCTCCCTTCCACCCGCTGGTGCGACTGGAGCGATCAGACCCAAGCTCGGCGGCACGCGATCCGCGAAAAAGATGGCCGTGTTGAGGAGACGCCGGAACGGCCGCTGGGGCCGCTCCAGCGTCTTTTCGCGAAGGCTGCAGCGAATTCGTTTACGGAGGAAAGCGTATGAGCCAAGCTTTTATTCGCTGACGCACTCCACTTGCATTCGTTGCGTGCTCAAAACGTCCACGAGATTCGCCCGGCAGATCTCTCAAACGCGCAAAAGATGCTTTCGTCCCGGGGAAAAAAAATGCGCAAACGATTACGCGACGTGGTGCGGATGGACAGCGGCATTTCGATGATTATGCGTC